TTGATGATCCTTACATTACGAAAAGACTGTACATGTATTTGGTTAGACACATACTCGAATATGCCCCTGCTGTGTGGTCTCCTTCATATAGGTCCTATGTAGATTCAATTGAATCTGTTCAAAAGCAATTCTTACTGTTTGCCCTTAGGAAGTTGGGTTGGAATCCGATTGGCTCTCTTGCCCCCTATGAAAATAGATTGCTTCTCTTATCCTTACCGTCTCTCGAGCAACTTAGATTTGTTCTTGGCTTTTCCTTTGTAATCAAAGTAATAAATGGTACTCGCCTACATTACTTGGTGAAGTAAGCTTTAATGTTCCTGACCGCTTCTCTAGACACTTTATCTTGGTTAAGCTTAATCAATGCAAATACAATTATGATCTGTTTAACCCGCTCAGAGTTGTTTGCAGACACCTAAATGATATCCATCACTTACTCTCATTATCGGACTCGTTAAAATGTATTAAAGCAACTTTGCTTAATATGCGCGTTTTACCTATGTCGTACTTAAACTAACTTGCATTCTTAATATCTCATTTTTTTTATTTCGAAAATTATATGGTGTTGTTAATGTGTCGGTTGCTAGGTTTATGCATGTTTGCAATGGTTGAGGGACTCACTTGCAACCTGGATCTGCTCTTGTTGCGGGCTGTGTACATCCTTTTGTACTAGCTGTGTACATTCTTTTTTCCCTTTTACTTATTTCTTTTTTTTTTCCTTTTTATTTATTTATACATGAATTATTATTTTTAAGTTAGTTTGTTTTTATTACTTTTCATTTTTCATATCTTCCTTTGTAGTGTATACTAGTTTTTAAAACAATTAGTGTAAGATTTACTCTATATACTTGAATTCGACTGTTGATTTTGTTTAGTTGAATTTCATGTACAAGTAGGTAAAACAAAATAAAAAAAAGTGCAAATAAAAATAATAATAATATACGTAATGAATACTGGCTTTTTTTGTAATTGTTTTATTTATATAAGTTTAGTAAATTCAAGAATTTTATTAATTTTAACTCCAGATCTAAAACAGGTTGCAAATCTTTAAGAGAGGGGATTTGGCTCATGAAGCGACCTGTTAAGGTCTTGGAAATGATGAGAGAGGGCTAAGAAAAATTTTAAGAAAATCGTTTTGATGGCAAAGTTGATAATCTGTTGTCCATTGTTTCGTTTTCTTATTTAAACAAAAACTTTTGTCAAATATTATTTCATTAAATTTTCAGATTTTATTTAAACTTTCATCATAATCGTTTTTCGTGATAATCGTACATTTCAATGTTATGTTGTATTCAATAATAGTTTGAATATGTGAATCAGCATCATGCATAAATCATATTATCTTTAATAACTTGAAAATTCGTAGATATTGTATATATAGGGAGTACACTGCAAAAAATTTTGTTTGATGTTTTTTGCTTTTTAATAATTATTTGTCCAAACTGTATTCAAGTGATTTAGAATAAGAAAAGTGAAGAATAATAATGATGATGCATTTGTTCTGATACAAATCTTACTCTATGCCTTCATGAGTTCCTTGTTAACTTTGGGTTCATTTGGTAGCGACGTTCTTTCCACTTTCACGTCGAATATACATAAAAACTACTCTCGTTCTCGTTCCACTTCTGCCTTTAAATTCTTCCCGACCTGCCTACGTATATAAGAGCGTGGCTGGTCGAACAAAAAATATTTGAAAACCAGTAAAAACGTTACAGTGGATCAGGACCCATCATTAAATACCCTACATCACTGCAGTTAATGCAGTTTTTCGCATAGCGACTTTTCAAATTGAGGCTGTGTGTGGAAATGATTGAAAATTTGATTCGATCCGAACCATTTTGGGTGGCTTTTGCCATTCGATCAGAAAAACATGTTGGTGTAACAAATGTCATCCCAATATCTCAATAGGTTGAGCATAAGAATATCTTACGGGCAGAGGTACAGAGAGACGGGCTTAGATCAATTCCATAAGTGATTCTGAGAATAAATAATAAAAAGTGAACCTGTCTCCTGTCCTTCTGGGTGTTCTACACATCCGTTCTACACAGACCTAATATAACTTGTATCGTAAGTAGTATAAAGTATAACAATTTGCGATAAATGTCGTATGGCTGCAACTTGTCAACGAAAATGTATTGAAATTAACCGAATTTTTTCGTCTTTAGTTGATGACCAGTTTTATTTTGTAGCTATTTTGGATGAATTTCAAACTTGATATGCATAGTATGTAAAAATTAGTAATTCCTTTTCCGAACCTTTGTAGAAAGCATATTTAAGAATAAACCTTGGCCGGACAGACGGATATAGTTATGTCAACTAATAACTTTTCCCTGGTCAAGAATCAACTGCAACATTCATCACCATAACGCAAACAAAATCTCCAACGGCGGCCATTGTTACTTTAGTTCATTTTATAACGGAAATTGTACATCAATGTGGGTGGACATAGAAATTTTTACATTTTAAGCGATGCCATTGATAGAAAATTACTAGGAAAAAAATATTGCGAACCTTTCTTGGATCGTTTCGCTTTACGGTGATATGTTTCGGGGAAGTAAGAACGCAAGAAATGGCAATAATTATTGTTATTATAACGTAATGCTCTCAACTTTTGGAATTTGCGAGAATGAAGAGATCAGATACAAATATATATATTTATATCTGTTTCCTTTTAAAAATCTTTTCCAATAAACAAAAATTTTCGAAAGTTCGTCCAGTGCAAAATAATATAATAACTTTGTTACTTTTTAACATTAAAGAGAAACAAAATTGTTGTTAATCAAATCAATTAACGTACAAATCACTTTTTATACAGTTTGTCAAAATATTATTTTCTTTAATATGTGAAATAAAGTTTATAATAAAAGTTAAAAGAAGGCTGACAATAAAAATAATTTTCATACGTTTTTATCCCCCTCTGCCTCTTTTTGTTTTGCACGCGTTCGAAAATGCGTTTGGAGAGAATGCAAACTCTGAAAATTTCTTTTTTTGCCAACGCAAGACTTATTTTACTGACGCTGAAAAAAAGGACTATTTCTAGTTTAGTTTAATTGGCAGTTGTAAAGAGAGATTGATTATGTATTGCAAATGCAAGGTAACTTAAGTAATGATTAACTTTTGAGAGGTAAGCGAAATAAAAATTTTTTTAAAATTTTAAATAATATTTAGAAATAATAATTAGAACTATTTAAGTTTCAAAAATGCTTTTAAGAATACTACACTTTTTAAATATGCATTTGTATAATTTTCAAGGAATTTGCACGGAGAGGAGAAGAACGGCGTGTGGTAGGCGAGGGCACTAACATACAGTCTAAACTTTAAAATTTAATTTATACTCTTGAACTATTCTAACAGGGTAAATTTATTAGAAAATCTTCGAAACACTTGCACTATGTGGCTGTTAAAGCATTCCATTCGAAGCGTGGATTTTTTGAATGTGTTACCGGCAAGCAATCCGGTTCTACGAGCTTCCATTGACCATCAATCTCTTCAACGTTTGCCAAACTACAGTAGGGAATTTTATGAATCACCTGCCTTAATTCATTCGTATTGCGTGGCGCTTCCCCAATTAACTGACGTGTGCAAGTATCTAAAGTCGTTGCATGAGCTACAATAAAAATATTCCCAACTGCAGAAATGTTTATAAACTTGCTTTAATTTTTAATTTTTTTCACAAGATATTCATTATACCCTTACTTGTGTTTTCAATAATTTTCTTTAAAACTTGATAATTACGGGTGTAAAAGTCTTCAGTCGTTTCTTTAATCGCCTCGTTTAATGTGCTGATCGTCATAAATGGCTGATAGTCATGATCTATAGTAAAGTTAGCCTCAGTTAATTCATCTTTGGTTAACCAATCGGGCACACCTTCTGGATACCAAGCCATCCATTCAAATAAACCAGGTTCTAGTTTTATATGTGTTTTACCAATGAGTTTAAGGCCTTCAGTGATATCATCATTAATTAGTTAAAAAGCAAACACAATTTTGCAAAATATAATTATTATTACATGAATATTTTCTCTTACCTTCTAAAGCACTTGTACATGTTTGAATACAACGATAAGCTGGCGAACAAAAAACATGATCAATTTGAACACGAGCTTCTGCTAAAGCATCACCTATTAAGCGGGCTTGATACAAACCAATATTTGTTAGAGGTGAATCGTTTTGCCAACCTTCCGGAATGTATTGTCTAAGAATTATAATCAAAAGTTAAAATCTTTAAAAAAATTATTTTAGGCTGAATCTGGGACACTTTAAGGATCAATTTATCTTTTACTAAAAACTTAGAACGCACCGCAAACTTTAAAATCGTATCTAAAGCGTAAATACACGCAATATGTATATATATACATATATCTATGTAGAGAATGGAACTGATCTAGTCTGATTGGCCGTCGTTCACTGTCTGTTTAGAAGAAAATGCTTTCAAACCTGATGTTAATCTCCACGTCATATGAAGTTGCATAGAATATAATTGAATATATATATAGTATCAAAAAATTCATTGAGTTGGTATTTATTCCATCCTGTAATCAAATATCTTACTTAACTTAGTAGCGAATATGAACATTTTTAGCTTCTTGCGGCGCAATCTAAACCACTATTAAATGGAAACGTAGAATAAAACATATAATTATTTGTGGTAACCGTGGATTAGGCGGTTGTTCAATTACCGTGGACAAGAGGATTAGGCGCTTGTTGTTTTATGGAAAGCAACAATGGTGCTATAAATAGCATTTTAAAGCTTAAAAAGTGTATATCCCAGATTCTACACTTTTATTATTTATTTACCTTTTCGGCAATGTTTTCGGCATATTTAAATCTTTGCGCATGTAATTATTGAATTCATCAAAGCAATATGGGATCCAAGTGCCAAATGTAAAATCTACCCGCTCACCGTGACGCATAATATAAATACGACGATTACGATTTGATGATATTGAAACGGAATTATCGGCTGAATGTTGGCTTAAAGTGTCATCAGATTTTGGAGCAGTGGCAGGCATTGGTTCCACTTTGATATCGTTTGCATTCGGCGAAGACATACTAGTTATTTCTATTAAAGGTGTGGTTTGTTGTTGTAAATTGCTTTGATTGTGTTGATTAATTGATGATAAATCCAAGCAAGGTCTTAATGTTTTTCGCAAATACTTTTCAACACTTTGTTCTGAATCCTCATTAAAGGACGTACCTTCAATTAATTCAGTATGTAAACCAACTAAAAAAGAAATTTTTGAAAAAATCAGAATTAAAAGGAATAAAAATATTATATTTATCTTTGGCCGAATTTTTTATTTATTTATATACCACCACCGTTACCTTAAAAAAAAGCAACTTAAAGAAAGGCGAAAATATGAAATTTCCATATTTTATGATGTCGGACGAACATAAACAATTCTTTTTATTTCTCTACAAGTACTGTCGGATCATCGACGTGGAAATTTTCATGGATTTATGAGTAAAACCTTTCTTTTGCCTTTGAAAACAGAATTTTTTCAGTTTGCGTACGTGCCGCCAGCGTATCTACTACCTTTGACTCTTCTTTTACTTAGTTGCAAGAACTTGCCCCGTTTCCGCCAGATTTAATCTGAATTTTTCACAATCGAGAGGAAAGTCATCACAGAGAAACACACATATGAACCGACGGACATGTAAGAATACATATATGTACATCACAGAATATCTGCCCTACCGGTGTTGCAAGCGTTTTGACAAAATGTATACACATTCTTCATTTTCCATCCTAAAATGGCGGGTACAAAAAATATTTTAATGTTTAACATAAAATCTATAAAATATATATGATTGATTAACTTACTATGCGTAGAATCGCGATGAGGTTGATCTTCCGCTTCTGTTGAAATGCTATGGCCATCTACAATATCTATTTCCTCTGCTGATGATAATGATGGCGTTATTGATTTCGATAATTGCACTACACGATGCAAGGTCCAAGCATCTGATTCAGCTGTACGTTCAGTATAATTAACTGGTAAATGACCGTGGCTGCCGGTTAACCAAGATATACCTTCAGCCCAACCGTCCGATGAATTATCAACTGCGTCACTGCTCAAATATATGTAGTCACCGATGCGTAATTCAAGTTCATCGATTTCATGTGGACTATGGGGATAGACGACCTTGTGTACCTAAATGAGCAAAAAAGAACACGCACACCCATAAGAGCAAAATAGTGTCGAAACGCTTTCAATTCTTTTTTTATGTAAAATTTACTTTTTTTTTTCAATTTTCGTAAAAAGAAACGATATGTACTTGTTTTGTAGCCAATCTGGGGTCACGTGAATATAAACGCAATTCCCAATTGGAGGCACATGAAGCGTCTAATGATTCCACCAGCGATTTCAGTGTATTAAACTGATTCTGCGGAAATTGATACGCTAAAGTCAGGTGCAGCGATTTCACGTGAGGTTCCAACGAAATTGCTAAAGTTTTTTATTTATTTATATATTTTTTTTGTATTGTTTGATTGTTTACGATTTTTAATATATATATTTATATTATTTATATTCATTTGTTTTCATTAAATTTTTGTTGAAAAAAAAGCAAATAACAAGAGGAAAGTTCAGAAATGAATACAAATTTCAAAGTGTAACACACTTGCACGCATATCGTTTTGTTAAGAAAAAATAAAAGCCTATATGAGCAACGCTATGTATGTGTATATACAATATATAGAGCTTCTGCATGCGTATGACCGATATAACGAAACAAAAACCAAATGTCCATACACTTACATTCACACACATACAAGTACGCATACGTACTAAAAGTTGGCACAGAAATGAGTTGCAACCCAAGATTATATTACGTTGGACATCAGTTGTTGTACTTTACACAGTTAGAGTAGTTCTTGAGAAAGTCAATAAAAAAAAAAACTAATGTGCGAGCGATTGAAAGTGCTTCTAATATTCGTTTTATTCAGGTCTAAAGTTTTGTTTTCAAGAAATTCTCGTAAATATCATCATAAAAATAACTTAACAACTGCCTTAACTGGAAGACGTCCTTCGTGTAAAGACGTATTGACTTCTTAACGAAGGGATACACGCCCGTTAACACACCATTTGTGTTTTCTGAATGCTCGAGTATCCTTGAGTATCCCATTGATTTTTTATACTTTTGATTGCCTTCAAAGGTGCGGAAAATTACCCAAAGAGCTTATCAGGATTAGTTTTTAAAGATGATGAGAATTTCCATCGCCAAGTAACGCTTGGCAAAAAAACCAAATTTTGCTAGTGAACACATAAAAATATAAATTATTATGTATGTAGTTATGTAAAACGCATAAGAGCATCAAAGCCCGTCGCAGAGAGTGCACTAATTTTGTGAAATTGTGTGGCTTTACATTGTTTCTTCCGATCCTCATTCTCGAAAATCATCTAATATGTCATTCGATATACCAACCCGCTCACAACTACCAAAGAAACTACTAATTTCCAGGTTTTCCCTGGATAAACATTTCAGAGCTTTTAATTAAAAAATTTAATAAGTTCGAAAATCGGGCCAACAGTACAACTCGTAAAAATCATGCATAACTAAGATGAAGTATATAAACATATTGTAAATATACAATAGCGTAGTAAACTCTACTTACACTACTGTAAATTAAGGTTTCTCTTACTAGAAGCTATATAAATATAGGTTGAGGATCGGGGAATGAATTTCATAAAAAACAAAAACGTATGTTAAATAACACTTTTTTTGACTTAAGATAAACTTATAAGCAAAAAATATACTTTAATCCCATAAATGCCACAAATAAAAACACTTACATACAACAACATTAAAACATTTGGAAAGGAACATCTTTAGTTAACGGTTCTTAGCTTTTGTACTCGTTTTCGTACATTTAAACAATAATTCATCAATAAAGCTTTAGCTTCTTTAAAATATCACAAAATATACAAAAACGCAAGGCAACTTTTCAAGAAATTAGAACTGTGATTATAACGTAAGGAAGCGCGAAAAAACTGTACGGGGAAATAGCAAAAATAATTCGAACTAGTGATGCTACTACTCAAACTGTTATAAAAAACTACAGCAAAAATACTCCGGAAAGCAAGCACCAATCAGGCCAACAAAACAAGTTTACAGAGCGCGGAAAACGAGGTGTTACCAGAATTGTGGCAAATTACCCCAAAAAAGAGACAACGGTTTACATATATATATTATATTACATTTTTTGGTTATAATTTTATTTTAAGTCAAAAAAATCTTGAAATATAATTTAATACAAGTTTTTGTTTCTTATATTTTTTGACTCTCAAGCCATAAATCCAGCCTTTAATAAGAGAAACGCGTTAATTTTCGGTACTGTAAGCAGACTTTATTGCGCTACCGTAGATTTTAGTAGGTTTTAGTTACTTGGGATTATATACCTACAAAAACCCGCCAAATGGTATAAAAGCTTGATTTGGGATATGTACGCATGATGCGATGGATGTTTTGAGTGATATATATCTTGGCAATTAAATATACAATGCGGAAATGAAAACATTCTAAGGCCTAAACGGGTAAAATAATTGTAACATACAACGTCGGGCGTAACATTATATTTTGTTCGTATATATATCGAGTAGCGTACGCATCTATTCCGTCTTCGCTTTTCGGCCAAAGGTTGGTTCGACATTCTGCTACTCTTAGCTAAACGTGCACTACGATGTTAAATTCAATGCGTGCTCAAGGTAGTTAAAGATACAGGTAGAGTAAGATAGAAAAGTTTAAATGGATACGCTGGCAGCGATCCCATGCAAGCAATAAGCTTCCCATGTCGGACATTTTGGTTGACCAAAACAGACTTGTTGCTAAAAGATAATTTTTCTCCGATTTCAAATCTAATCTTCCAGGTGATTTTGATGTAAAATTGAGGAAATCCTACCCAGTTTTCTTGATTATTTTTATAATTTGCATATGCAAATATTATTTGATATCTTTAAGCACTCCATACGTCGATTAAGTCAAGGAATTCATAATTGTCACGATTTTTATTACATTTTTTACACGCTTCATAGCTTTAACACCAAAAATTACGTAACGTAATTATTTTTCAGTACGAAAAACTCACGCACCTTTTGCTTAAAAAATGTTATCTCATTAGTCTTTGTTTTAAAAAATGTCGCGATAATTTTGCTTTTCAAAACAAACTTTCCTTTTTACTATTTTCGAATGTCTTTCAGTAATTTTCTCTTTTTATTCCCTCGTTATTTTTATTTTTTCTCCCTACAACCTTTCTCTTAGAAATCTTAACACCCTTCCAAAAAATGATATTGTTTCTTTCTCTACGATAAATTGATAAAATAAAATAAAATAAAATAAAGTTTCCCCCCGCCAAGATCAGGTTTTAGGGGCCGTAGCCAACAAAAGACGGTGAAAACTTCATACCACCATTTAATGCCGTTGGCGATGTAGGTTCCGATCAAATGCCCTTTCACATCTTCTCATTCGTAATAACATTTCCCTATTTTCTTCCGAATACGAGACTTTAGAAAGGTCCTAGTTTAGCATTATAATTTTTCTCAAAATCTGAATGCCGGAAGTCTCCACGAGCTTCCTTAAGTTAGATACCTCGTGCTCTGAGGTTTTAGTTTGTTCATTTTTATTGAATTGTTTCTCTACCAAATACGTTGCTTGTTTACGAACATTTTCCAAAATATCGTCATAATCGAAATTTATAAGCCTGTCCCCTAATGAGCGTAATTGTCTGATTAACTTCTACGTCTGCCCATTCGTAATCATTTGTTGGCCAAAAGCTAAATAATAGGCGATACAACGATAGCTGAGTGAACACCAGAACGTAATGTCCAATTTATGCTACTTAAAAATTTGTCCCAAATTCTTTGGCTCAGGTTAACATAAGCTCGTATGGGTACAATAATGGACCTTTTCACCCTTTTGCAAGCGTTTGTCTATGGAAAATAACTTGCTGTTGCCAAATGTTTAACGTGATGCTTAACTTGTGATTAAGCTGTCTACATTTGAAGTGAACACCGTCATCTGACAATACCCATTCAAGCACACAATAATATGGAAGAGGTGATAAACCACCCCCGTAGTCGATTTTTTCACAGCTTTCAAAAAAGGTGACCTAAAACAATGCTCAAAAATGTGACCGTGGATAAGGTTCTAAAAAGTCGAAATATATTTTTTTAAAAACACACGCTGTGACGGTATAGGTTTACCCGTAGGAGGTCTGAAAACAATATTTGGGTGTATATTTGTAGGCTTGTAAATTTCGAATGAGTTAATACGGTAAATATAGATGCCAGCATGCGACGATAATTGATCATCGTGACGCTAAGCTAATACTTCCGTAATTAATCCTTTTGGTAACCAGAAATCATCATGTAAATGTTCCAAATTTGCATACTTCATTCTTCTATAAACGAACCCGTCAATGACTTTAATATTCCGAAATTTCGAAAAATTATACTTCACAATGTTAGTAAGGACCAAATATTCATCTGATGATTCGGAGTCTGTGAAATTGTCGTAATCATCCGCCAGGCTATTACTAGCTAACTCAAAAACATTTTTTGTTACGGAAATCCCGAATCCTGTTTATTCCAGCTAAGTAATAAAATCCCTAAAGACGGAAAAACTAAACGCACATTCGCAGCATGCAGCTGCCGGCCGAGGAGAACGAGTACCAGAAAAGCAGGTTAATGAATTAAAAATAAAACTATAAAATTAGGTACTAGTAATATGATGGTA